CAAAGGCGCAAGCCTATTTTTCCCTCAAATATACTGACTGACTGACTGACCTGGAAGAAAGTACCTGTGACGTTGGAATATAGTTTCAGTTTAGAAACGTCAAAACATGCCACCCACTGTCCAAGTTATCTTCCTTTCTCCTTAAATTGCTTGATGGCGACTGTCAGGAACTCAGAAATGGCCATTTCTTTTGCTTGTATATAATGCTTCAAGTCAAGTCAAGTTTTTTACTTTAAATAGAGGCAAACACATTTAAATTCCTTATGGGTACACAGTAGTTAAGAAATGCATCAGAACGGCGAAAGTGCAAAAGGTCGTTTACATAATTTTAGGCGACTTTTTACTTGTTCCGATCAATATAATCACATGGGGTGATGTCAGTCAACACGAGCCAGCAGGTGTATCTTACCAAAAAGAGCATACAGTGGAAAACCTCTAAAGGCATGGCTCAGAATTCAAAATGGAATGTCTTTTGTGGTTGTTTAATAATAACAACGTACAGGCTGGAGGGCAACAGTTCGAGCTTCAAGACTAGGCCCCAAGTCATACCGGGACAAAGTTAGTCTGCGATGCCATGGGTGAACGCCTCCATACATCCGCTTATATAGCTGATCGAACCAGTTAAGACTGCGAGCGCGTGGCTAAATGGTAAGGGCATTGAATCCCAGGTGTTGTAACACCAGGGGTTGGATAGATCCAGCTTGCATAATTCATATATCCTTGAGAGTAACATAAAAGTACTGGTCTGATATATCTTTCATATGTCTTTCCTAGTCTACTTGTCCCATATTTAACCTTAAACAGCTTAACCAACAAATGTCTCTTCTTATGCGCCCCTCAGAAACTCAAATATACCATAAGCACTTGTCAAAGCACTTAATACGTAGCAAGTGAAACCAGAATGAAGGATTTATTATGGCACAGAATAGATCCGGCGATGGGAGGTGTAGGGTCAGAACGTTTGTCTTGAAAGGCTCAGCCACAAACAGGTGTTAGTCCCACAGCTAGCATAAGACGCAGGGCCTTGAGTAGAGTATTTTCTTGTGGGTCTTGAGCGCTCATTTCGGTAAGTGTTATTGGGTGAAGCAAGGTAACATGCTCTGTTTCCAATTCACCAATTTCCCTTGCATTGCCCTCGCACGTGTCCAAAGATCCAAATATCTTGTAGGCCTTTCCACGGAGCATTTCTTCTTGAACTTCTACATGTGTATCCTTAAAAGAAAAGTATTTAGTAATCAGCCTTTTCGTCAAGCATTATGCGGAAAATCTAAACTGGAGCAAGTCATAAAGTAGAGGAATTCGAGACAGAAGAAATAATCGATTGCGCTAGTGTCCAATCATGCATGGATTTCAAAGCCATATATACATTATATAAACCGTTGTTGCCTACCAAATGTATTATCGGCAAGTAAAGTGACATCGAGTCTTCTTTTCAATGTGTCAACGCTTTCAGAAAGAACAACTGAGGAAGAAAGTTTACTCCAGTCTTAAGTGAACCGGTGGAAGAAGAGTTTGGTCCACACATCTAGTTTGGCCTGGTGTTTCTTAAGTTTTTATGGATGCCGTCGGAGGTGTGTTCTTTGTACAAATTCAAAGGAATGACACATATCCGACGCCATTCATACAAACCGAAGAAACGCCGTGTCAAACAAGAAACACGTGAAAATATGGTTTTCCAACATGTAAACATGGTTTGTTAAAGGCTCTGTCCATCTCCCTTACATATACCGAATTATACTGAACTAGTACGGTACTAAACCGGACCTTCAAAATGATATCGTCGTGTTATTTGTGGGCAAAATGATTCCGTAATAGGTGGTTTAAGAAGATAAAGGCTCTCTTTTAGATATGCAACACGTTTAACTGAACTCTACATGAAATACCTGGACGTCCGGATGAGAAGCGATAAGAGAACAATCTACTTCGTGGAGCTTTCCTTTGGATTCCCGTTGTCGCATAGGAGACAGTACTGTTAACAGGCTGCCCAATCGTGCAGACAGAAAATGCACCAGGAATGACTGTGATAAAATAGAACTTAACTTTTCAGAAGAAGAGGATGCGATCACTGGAAAAAGAGTTTTATTTCCGTCGGGAATCGGAAACGTCAGGAAAATAAAACTCTTGTCACAGTGATCACAGCCTCTTCTTATGAACTGCTTCCTGGAACTCGCATCCTCTCCAACTTAATGTTTGTTTTAACTCTTTCCCAGCAAATGGTTAGTATGCAGATTCTGAACGTTGACGCAGAAGTGTTAGGCAAATCGGGGCATAAAATGGCAAGTCTACTTTCAGGTGTTAAGACACACCGGCTTATAGAATGTGAAGATAATAATTTGTTCAGTGGAATTACGCTTTGTGTGGAAGGACAATGTATAAACGAAGATGACATTTTGGGATTCACAGCTTCCCTTCAGATCACATCACATTTGTAACTCCCTCGTCCGCCATATTATGGCTGCGCATTTACCTTCTTAAAGCAACTTTTCCCTTGTGTAAATTTAAACATGACAAAAACAGCAGAATTTATTGGATCCATGTCATTTCGAGAGAGCTTTTCAGCTGTTTCGTCTGGTTGCATAACATGAGTAAAGAATTAGTAAATACAAAACCGAAATGGCATATAAAGGTCATAGGGTGCGGTCATGAAGACTATTTAATAAATTAAGTATGTTAAAATTTCGTGGAAATAAAAACCGAGGAAAAGGACATTAAGGCGAAAAGAGGGGCACATTGTTGTATAAATCAGGGAGCCTGATATTACTAACGCAAAACTAGGTTGAGCACATGCTCCAACTGTTTACATAGGTTTGGTCTGACCGCCGTATATAGACTGTCTCAAGGAAGCGCAAGCTCCCAGTTTTTCGTGCCCGAACAATTACTCCGAATTAAGTTTTAGGGCCCACAGAAGGATCCGTATCTAGCAAGTGTTCTCTAATGGAAGGCAGAGATGTCCAATTTTCCTGTTTGGGTAACCATCGCATGAGCAGGCCCATTTTCGAAAGACACACCAAAATAACTACTATATTCGTTTCAGTAGGCGTATTTACGGCTACTCATTTAAATCGACCGTTCGCATTCCTCCTTTACCCAGCCTTGCAATTACACTTAACCGACATATTTCCCTAATAAAGTAGCAACTGTTCCACTTGCTATTACTATACATACCTTAGCTCAGCGAGTTAGAACTGATAGACAGGTTCGTTAAACTATACTACCGTTTCCGTTTCCTGGTCTACCCAGCCTTGCGATTACATTCAAAAGACTTATCTCGCTAGTAAACAAGCAACTGTTCCACTTGCAATTACTACACATACTACAAACAATCCCCAAAAGATCATTCATGGACAGAAATGCATTCTTACAACGTGTTATATGCACCCACTATGACTACGTGAAAATTATTAAATATTCACTAGGTCGAAAATGTACGCTGACGCGCAATACTTACCTGACCATCCCTTTGATAAGCCACATTTCCCTTTGATTACCCCATTCCAAATGAAATTAAGACAACAACTTGCATTAACAATCGTGTGTAGTGGCACGAAGGAGGGCCTTTGCAGCGTTCTCATTTTCATCCTTCGCTTCCCGCCAGGCTGCCACATCAGCAGTCCTATCCTCTGGCAGATTCCGATGAAATTACATCCCATCTCCTGCTTCACCACAGGCTCCTGTTCTTCCGCTTTCGAATGGGTAGGCGGCTGCCACATGGCTTAAAAATAAATTCCAGGCTGCTTCTAAATCCATATTATGAATACCGAACCATAGCCGGTATTGTATTTCATCTATATGACCCCAGACAGCGCGCCTAGCCACCGTACGTCCTTCCTGAAGCTTCCTTTTCAACCTACTCCAGTACGCTTCTACGGCATTCGTATGCCGCTTCGTCGCCGGATTTAAAAAAATGACAAGAGTGATTGACAGTAAAAATGTTCGTATCCTTCTCCTTCAAGAGGCTTATATGCATTCCACTCATCCGTCACAATTGTGCTTCCTGGACTTATCCACTTCTTGATTAGCGGACACAATTCTCTCCAACTTTGCCCATTCAGCTGCTCAACAACCGCTCTTCGTCTTCGGCAATCGTAGATGCCAAGCAGCCACCGCTGACGCTGCCGACGACCCACATTGTATTTACGTCGTCTAATAAACGCTTCGTCGACTTGAATCTCTACGCCTTCTCCTCCTAGGCGTTGTGCTGCTTCCAGCAGTGCCTTGCTGCAGACATTACGACAAAAGCCGTACCATCGCACGGCCGTCGAATGTTCAATTCCCAAATCTGCCTCACATACGCTGATCCGCGTTCCTTGCACGAAAGCCAACCAAACTTCATTATTTTCCTTATTGTCAAACGACTGCTTTCAAAAATTGATCCCGTCCTCAGGGCATTCCTCTTCTTACACCTCAGGCATCGAAATAATATCCATCCGTATGCTCACGCAACAATTGTCGCTTCATCCACCAACGACAAAGAAATTTCAGCACATACGGCAGCAGTATCCTGTCCTGACTATAGTCCATTAATTTGTCAGAGTTAAAAATTTCCAAAACGCTCTCCGTTCTCGTCCTCCTTTCGATTTGCGGCTTCGCTATCCTCCTCCTATAACAAAAAATACACTATCACGAATACCTCGAAACTGTAACTTCGTGCCTTGTATTTGATTCACCAACTTAGCTTACCTTAACTTACACAGGCTTCGCTCTACCTCCTTTTCGCGAAAAATTGCATTAAGACAGTTTTCATTACATTTACCCCATATTCACTGCCCTATTACACACATTCCTATTCACATCAATTAACACGCACACTATTCATACACATACCCTTTCCACTTACCATTTCACTCTGCAATAGTATACCTACGTACTAACATACACCAACTCATAACATTCTTTACATATTCATTCGTTACATTCATTATTTATCACTACAATTACAACCACACTGGCTTATCACATAAACTTCAAAACGATGCTTCTACTTCACCACCTACACTTACAAGCACTAACACAAACTTCCTCATTATATATGTGCTTCATCATCCTTCATTTGATTCAACAATCCTATTGCAATAGTCATACGTACACACTGCATCCATAATAATTTCACTTGCAACTTATCTTACATTACGCTTACAACATATACACAATTACAGCACCTTACACTTTTTGCACCCTTTCTTGCATATTCTCTTTCTCCTCATTTACCAGTGCCACATTCCAGTAACTTCCCTGTAAATTGTCACGTCATTCCATTTCTCTTCTTTCACTCATGCCTCTACCGTTCATACGCACACGTTTCTCGTTTGCACACCGCTGACCTTGAATTCCATCGGATACCGCTTACGCTGATTTCTGACCTGCTAGAATTCCTTCATAGCGGTTTATTCAATTCCCCATATTTAATTTAATGCTGAAAAATGCCATTTTTTTGTTTTACGCGCTCTATGCCAGCGCTATATAGCGCCCGCAATTAATACATTGAATTATTTTTACCGGATTTTTGCAACTTATTTCGCAACGCCTCCTTCACTATCCATCCTTTTTCCCTACCCATAACCCCCCAATTCCCACCAGTCCCGTAAGACAGAAGACTAGGGTTTACGAAACCCACGTGGGCCTACACAAGCGACTTTTGCCCCTGTGTGAATAGCCTACTAGTGCTCATTAGTTCTGGCTGTAAATCGCCTTAGCGTTCGCTCTATGCACATGCATCCGCAAATGCATATCAATTCACAAACACAATTGGGAATGGCGTGCAATGGTATGACTGGATGTATATTTACTTAACAGATACCGTTCATATGCACAAGAAAGCACTATCAATAGTCACGTACGCATTGGTCAAACCTATAGATAAAACTTGTACATATGTATATGTTACCCACTATTTTATAGCAACATATTTTATGTTGGATATATTATGCATACAAGAATGCATTGAATGCTCTCACTGACACATTGGTCATACCTACAACTAAAATTTGTACATGTATATAGGTTACTCACTATTTTATAACAAATATTTTATGTTGGATATTTTATGCATGCTGTTTTCAATAGGGTCTTCAAAGTCATTGCCTACTACCTTAATTTACTAAACTAATACTGAACTAATCCTTCGCACAAGGACTTGGTAAGGGTTTAGGTGGAGAGAAAAAGATACGTTCAGCGGCATTGTATGTTCTTTCAATGCTACTTGCTTCACATGTTGCCGTTTAACTAGACTAACTCAATGCAACTTCAGGTTTTCTTGTCTGTGGGCCGTCATAAAATAATTATAAAACATAGCTCACATTTGGAATTAGGAGTTGCATCGTCGCATCTTTGAAGAGGGCCACGCATGCCCACGATATATGATCAACCCCGATTGCGCAGATCACACTGAAGATAGAGTTCGGCGCTATTCTGAGTATAAGTGTATCCATGCCAACGCGTATTTGAGCATTCTCCAAGTAGTCCTCAAGCGTATTTCCCAGTGCCCTCCCGTCAACTGGGATAAGGTATTCTACAAAGGTAGTCCATACACTATATTTCAGTCTGGCAAATTGCTTACTCGCTTAATTCATTATTATTCAGCTTCAGTTAGAACATGTCGCAGAATTATAACGAACCTGGGATAAGTTGCTCAAATTCTTCATATCCGTTGCCTACGAGAAAACAAAGGGAGATTACAAATGATAGAAAACAATGTACATCCTTAGGCAAAGGAATATACTTTTACAAATCATCTTGGATTGAGTTCCTGGCTCGAACATGCAGAGCACTACTTAGGGCCTTCACGGACGCGGCGCTATTAACCGATTTTCAAACTCCTAGAACAGCACATTTTATACTTTTGAATGCTTGCGGTTCGAATAGTATTTTGGACTTTGGATTGCATATACCGCTAACACTTCTTTCAAAAACCATTGCTTCTGTAAACTAAATTCTACGAACAGTTCGACGCACAATATTTCGCACTCTTCAAGCTATTCAACTAAGGTTGTGATGCACTTTTGCGGCACAAAATGTAATGTCCATAGATCCTTTATAACCGAAAGTATAAAACCAGCCTCAATTAGTTAAATACAGTACAACTCAGAATTCGTGCGATATACCCACATATGAGAAGGAGCGATACTCTTTCGCTAAAGGGCATTAAATAAGGTTGTAATACTGAGTATCTTGTAGTCTATTCTGAAGTTATTCCAGTCGCGATAGGATGCCCTCCTTTTAACGAGCTTCGTTCTGACCGCTTACAAAAGTTATCCACTGTAAAAAATGGCTACTTGATTAGTATGTCTTATTATCATCGTGTTTGACTGCGTTTGCAAATGCAAATATATTTTATGGAAAATATAAACAACAAAACTCTTCCTTGCACTCGTTTGATAGTATATCATGTCTTCTTTAAATTGCATACTTAAAGAAAGGGTAGCTTTCGGTGTCAAAAAGTTTCTAAATTGCCGAATAAGTTTGAAACCTACCAACTGCTTCATCTGAATTCAAGGTTAACAAACTGCACACTGTGTACATCCTGAGTAAGGAAAAGTAGGCTTTGCCTACGATTTTAAGAAGAAGTCACATGGTTCTCATAAAATATTTCAATGGATGCGGATCGTGCTGTATACCCTATAGGCAGCATTAATAAGTATTAATAACAAACAGCTCACAATCGTAAAAAAACCTTTTAAATAGCTTGTTTATAAACCGAAGGGTACCCTTACCTTAAGCATAATATTTAAAGAAGGCGTTATATACTACCAGACGAGTACAAGAAAGCATTTTTTCTTGTGTGTTTTACATAAAATATATTATAATTTATAAGGGCAGTCAAAATAAATTATAAAAATGCATACTATACAAGTTGCCATTTTTTACAGTGGTGAGAAAGAAGTTCGTTAAAAAGCTAGTATCCCATCTAGACTGAAATGACTTGAGAATAGGCTATGGGATAATCAGTATTACAAACTTAGGGAGTGAGAATCAATTTTCCGCAAACGGCATGTTGCACGAATTCTCCGCCGTACTGTATATGGTGGTCACATGCTCTACTGGATATGTGCATGGGAATTCTGCAGGAGACCGTTGTTCTAGAATTAGTTCAGAGGGCGCCGAAGTAAAGTCGGCGAGGCATTTGTCGATGGGAAAGAGGATTTTCTCTGTGATGAGCATAGGGACCCACCGAGCACGACCAGGAACAAATAAACTAAAGGGGGAACGAGTGAGTATTAACCGCGACAATTTGCGTGAGCTTTCAAAGGCCACCGTATATTACGTGATCCCTTATCTCTTAACAAGCACCACAGTGTTATCGTTTTTGCATCAAAACACGTTCAAACTCAAAGGTAATCTATGCTTTTGTGCGTGGCACCGAAAATAATACTTTTGAAGACTACTTACCGTGCCAATTAATGACCTGTCTTTGACTGTCGTCAGATGAATTGCAAACAAATACTGACTCGCTTTCGTTTCCGATGCGCTCATGGTAATAAGTAAAGATGAAGGCATCACCTTTCTCTTGAACATCTAAATGTCAGAGAAATCAGGGGAAATCTTTCAGTAATTGCTTTGATAAAAGATGCAAAAGTGAAGGCTATGAAATTGCGCTTACGGCATTTTCCATCATCGGGCGATGTTGTGATTTCTGAGCACAATATACTGTTGTCCATGGTGCACTGTAATTTCTGCAAAAAATGTATTTAATAGGGAGGACAAAGATAGCATAAGCATAGCATGCCAACAAATTGTTGTGTGAGCGTTTCTTATTTCTCTAATTACTGGGCCAGAGTTCTTAGCCTGGCTTAAATGAGTAATTGCTTAGCATCTATACTATGGCCTCCGGTGGACTATGCCAGAAGTTCCATTAAAGTTATAAGAAAAAAGATCCAATAAGAAAACTTAACTATCGTCCCAACTTCACTACCAGCCGGATTATTGGCAGTCGAAACATCCGAAATACTGAAATGATGTTTGTGAACTCAATTATGTTTTCTGAGCCAGACAAAGCACAGCGTTTATTACAGTGTGTAGATGGAAATTTTGCCAACAATCACTATGTACTTTTGCAAAAAAAAAGAAAGAATAATAACCTGTCGACAGAACGTGCTGCTCATTGAAGTGCTCAACGGTCGCCTTTTGCTTTGAACAAACACAAACATAGATAAAGATTCCAATTAGTTTAATAGGTTTCAGGATTTGAATGTATTATGTTGCGGATCTCCTTCATGCAATTTAAATGGAAATGTGTGTACGAATCTGGAAGACTTGAACGCATTATATGTCGCGAAGGTTCTGACTGCCTACCTGCCTTCCTTTGACAGCACTTCTTGATTGAGAGCCAGCTCCAACTAATTCAACCCTCATCGGAAGCAGATATTAATATTCTGACAGAACTATCGATATAAGTGCACTCTAGGCGCACAAAGTTATCCGAATGGAGCGAATTCAAAATGGAAATCACGATATTGTCTGCTAGGATTATAACCTGTAACTTACACGGTATTCACGTGGGCCCCAACTTCGTACAGTCCACTGCAGTTGCACAATCTTTGAATCAGGGTACACCACTGTATCCTTACCAATAAATTCGTCCAAACCAAAAAATGAGCACCAACAACTTATTGGTTTTAATTAAAGGCAGTCTATAGTTCGTGTTACACGCCGACATATTTAAAATATTATTACTCTCTCGCCAATCGTCATTGAGTAAGGTTGTAATAGTGATTACCATGTAGTCTATTCTGAATTCTGTTTAGGCACTACAAGATGCCGGCTTTTTAAACAGGCTCTCTCTGACCGCTAACGAAACGTATGTACTGTAAAAGTGGCTACTTAAATATTGTGCATTTTTATCATTGATTTTGACTGCTTATATAAATTCACATACATTTTATGGAAGACACAAACCAAAAACATATTGCTTGCACTGGTTTGGCTGACAATTATGCCTTCTTTAAATTTTATATTCAAAGGAATGGTACTCAAAGAATAGATTAAGATACACTCTGAGCCTCCCATTTGGTCCAAAAGTAAAAGCACACTTTACCTGACCAAACATATTTATAGGATACAAGTTGGAAGTCGTTCGCGTCTTCGTAAATGCATGTGAAGAAGCCAATGGGTTTTTCAGTCTGCGTCATCTCTAATTTTAAAACCGAGTTCTGGCCCTCCTCTTCTAAAACTGAATGTGAGGTCCACACGGTAATTGAAATATCCGAAATATAATAGATTTAAGTGAAAATGTATTAGTCGCTTAGGTTCGCTATGTGACTCACCGCAGGGTGTGGAAATCCCACAAAGTTCGCCCTCACTTGAGGAACATGTGAGCTGTAGTTAAGAATTTTATAGAGAATGTTATACATCATGTAATAAATGCAATAATTTGCCGTTTTATTGGTTCGTAATGAAAACGTTGTGTATTGAATATTTTAAGTGCAAACAAATAAGAATGAATAAAACAAATTATCAGATAGTATACCTATTTTCTCACGTAACGGATGTATTTTGACAACTTACTCTTCTAAATCACGCGTAAGAATGTCAGTAAAGCTAATAGTCGTAAAAAATGAGCTTCCACTTTGGACTCTTCACATGTCTTGTATACATTAACTGTGTAACCGCAAAAGCGTCAGTGAGAAACATCGACGAATCAGGATGGCTTCCTAAAATGTTGTCCCTAACAACAAATACCACAGGCATCTGACTATACCAATGCAAACAGAACGCGATTTTGCAACGACACTGATTGTAGGAATAGCGGGCCATCTGTACATCGGAGATATACAGTACGGCATAGAATTCGTGAAGAATGCTGGCATATGCGAAAGATTGATACTCTTTCGCTAATCGGTGTT